CTTTAGTTTTTTTTATTGGCTTAAGGAATTTCTTACACTTGAATATATTTTAAGAGTGTTTGTGAATCCCGCTCCACGACACATCTGTTGGTTAATTTGAAGAAACATAATGCAAGTTGAAATACATCACAAACATTTAAATAACATTTCACTATCTCATTACCTGTAATTTTGATTTAAGAGATGACCTTGACTGTCCTTGAGATAAGATCACAAAATACTGGTACATGTGGCTTGACTTAACAAACATCTGTTTAAAAGGTTTAAACCGCCTACGACTTTGTGACGGACATTATGTTGACTCGAGGTCATACCCGGGGTATGAAATGAAAAGGTCACTAGGGAATGTTGAATTGACTATGTCTGGAACTTTTGATAGAAAGGGATAATAATAATGCTATTGTTCATGATCCACACGTTTTCACATCGTGCAAAACTATCATATCTCAATAAACCAGTCAATGGACCTTGAATTGATCATATCTCATGATGTATCAAAATTGAATCCTAGGCATAAAAATAGAGATAGAGACCTTGATTGTAATCAATTCAAACTTAGACTACCTTCTAATACAGCATCCCATGAATTTAAACTATTTATATTAAAACAATAAAAAATAATTTATTAATATGTCTATTACTGCATCAAAATCAATTCCTGCGAAAGGGCTCTAGATTAATATATATACCGCCATCACAGATGTCAACCAAACATTTCCTGTGCATATGACAATAGCAACAAAAAGAGAATACCAGTAGGTTTGTTTAAATCGCTGAAAAATTATCACGCCATTCTGTTAAGGAAATGGTTTATAATGCAAATTGTTATTTAACATTCAGTTTCTTATCAGTTGGGATGGACCGACACGGTAGCTCAGTCTATAGAGCGCTAGCTCTTCGAATCACGCCCACGACTGACCTAAGGCGATAAAAAAAGGTTCCTTCGCCAAGCGCTCGGCACTTTTGGAGTGAAATTGCGGATCTTTCGGATGAGACCTTAAAAACCAAGGCCCCCTGTCATGGCAGGCGTTGGCACGATAAAGAACCCTCACTGCTCAATGGCTCTGAATGCCGAGTAAAGGTTTAAATTTGAAGCCCTTCACTAGGATATGGTGACCGTCTCTATATGAGTGAAAAATTCCCAAACGAGATATAAAATAACACACAATCAATCAATCAATATTAGTTGGGATGCAACTATTTAAGTGTGTGTGTCATGTTTTTTTCTGTCCATCATACAAAAAGATATAAAGTTAAGAAAAACTAGATAAATTCAAAAAAATTGTGCCTCCCTCTTAAGGAAAAAATGATTGATTGTTGTTTTATGTCCCATTCGAGAATTTTTCACTGATAGAGAGACGTCACCATATACCGGTGAAGGGTTTCAAATTTTGACCTTTACTCGTCACTCAGGGCAATTGAGCAGTGAGGGATCTTTATCATGCCAACGCCTGCCGTGAAACGGGGCCTCGGTTTTTAAGGTCTCATCCGAAGGACCCGCAACTTTCACTTCAAAGTGCCGAGCGCATGGCGAAGAAACAGTTGCTACCCATTTTTCATCGACTTAGGTCAGTCGCGGCTGAGATTCGAACTCCCGATCACGAAGCGAGCGCTCTACCGACTGAGCTACCGTGAACGGTCTTAAGGAAAAAAGACGAGCATTCGCAGATCTAAGAGAGGGGGGTGTCACCCGATATTGTTAAAAATTTACACAACGCATGGTGTCTAATTTAACAGTTCTAATAGATGTAATTAGAATATAAAGTTCGCCGACAACCTGTATTATATGTAATATCTCTTCACATGCTCCTGTGCTAAAAATAGTGTCTCGCGACTTTTAATATAAAGGGGAGTAACTCTAAAAGTTTGAGCGTGATCGATGCCAAAATATTTCCAATTGACTTTTGGGAAAAAGCATTGACCAATTTAAAAAAAAGAAAAAGAAAAAAAAAACGGGGCGGGACACTTTGAGAAAGGCGGGTGGGGCCATAGAGAGTTATGGTATTACATTTCATTGCAAAAGCTTCATGAAATATCGCTCGGAAACGAAAGTGTTGCAATTATGGATGAATTTACGACCTTGACCTCAAAATCAATAGGGGTCTTCTTTAGGCCACAGGGACTTGCAATGTAAAAGTTTATTGCAAAATCTCAAGGGTTTCTCGAGATATCGCAGGGAAACGAAAGTTTTAAAACAGATTTATTACCTTGACCTTTCACCTCAAAATCAACAGAGGTCTTTTTTAGGCCATAGCTATAGGGAGTTATGTAAAATTTCATTGCAAAAGCTCAAAGGCTTGAGATATGGCATGGAAACGAAAGTGTTACAGACAGACAAAAGTCGGACGGACAGACAGACCCAAATTAATATCCCCAATTTTCAGTGAGAGCGGGGGACAAAAATTCAGATTTCATTAATCTTCAAGACCAAGGCCACGAAGTCGATTATCGTAATAGTTACACATTACATTCAGAAATATTTTGTCACAGGTAATTCACATGTTCACAAAAGTTAACGCCATAATTAAAGTTTTTCATGTCGGTCAAACTTCTAAGTCAAGGTCATGAAGTAAAAAATGATAGTTCTCCTTCCTGAAAGGTGTCATAGTTAATGTACACGTACAAGGGTTGTCTCCATAAAGTTAATAGAAAAATGTTATAATTTTCTTAATAATGACCACACTGCCAAATGTGTACGATAATTATCGTGATATAGTAAATTTATTTTAAAAATTCAAACAATGAAAAACAAATTATTCTAACTTGGATTTTCGTAACAAATGTTTTGGCAATTCAATTTTGGTTTTAACGTGTCATTTGATTGGATAAAAAATTAGTTTATATGGTGCAACCTGTGCTGCCTACGTCACGATGACTTACGTCAACTAGATGTGTCTTAACGCCACAAATGCCCCCGTATGCAGCTAAAATTTCAAATTGCAAATTGCACATTTATAGCGGAGATAATGATCAAAAATTGTGAATTTTTAAATCTTTTCCAAGTTCAACGGGTATTACTGTCAAGAATCATCGAACCAGGATCAAATTTGAACTTGAACTGCACTTTCTGGTAAAAAAAAAAACAACAACTGCATATACAATTTCAACCTTATATATATATATATATATATATATATATATATATATATATATATATATATATATATATATATATATATATATATATAAAGCCCTACAAAAGTGAAAGAGCAACAAGGTAACCCTATACCGTCTAATTTATACACCTTCTCGAATATATTGTTGCACAGTACTCCTGGAGTTTCTCCTTCACTGTAGTTAATATTTTAGTGAGGAGTAAAGAAAGAGACTTGGTAGAACATTTACTGAAACCCGCTATGTATCTTTGCAAGAAGTTTTATGAAGTTTCGGATTCCAACATAAATATGGTAATTCAAATTCATTTTGGTTGTTGGGAAAATTAAATTAAATCGGCCAATCGTCGCCCGATCATCGAATGCTGAGCTGCAGTTTGATTTTCACCATCGGCTGACTTTTGGAAAACCCAATACCTAAAACCCCAGTCACATTTCCAAAAACGACCAATGGCCGACGGATTGTGAGGCAAAAAATAGGATTCTCTGGGCGACAGTCGGCTGTTCTTCGGCCGTTGTCTTGCCCGATTTTGACCTCTTGTATTGTTGGCCGACCGATTTTGTGTCTGCCGGGCCATGTTATATTTTTTTCTGCGTCGATTGCCGATTACTTCATTTGAAGCAGTAGTGCGTGTTGAATAGTCCGTCGACCAACCTTCGACCATCGGCAGACAGCTCTTCAAGTCGATCGTCGTTCGGTCGACATTTAGGAATTAAGTTTTCGTAAATGACGGCCGACGGTGAAGATCAAACTACGGCTTAGCGAACGATGATTGGGCGACTGTTGGCCGACTTAGAATTATTTAATTTTTGAAAATTATGTTCCTAGGAATTAATGTGACTTCTCCGAGTCGCCCGATACCAGTCGGCCGATCATGTTTTTCAGCCGACGATACGAGAAAAATTTGATCGCCCGACCATCGGCTTAAATGTGACCTAGGTAATAATGTCCACTGACCGACGACCGACTTGACAAACTGTATGCCGGTGGTCGAGGATTGGTCAATGAATTCAATGATTGCTTCAATTGAAGAAATCGGCCACCGACGAAGAAAAATATGACTTGGCCCGACAAAGACAAAGTCGGTCGGCCGACGAAAAAAAAGAGTTCAAAATCGGACATGCATGTAACAACGGCCGGTGAAGTGCCGAATGTTGCCCGAAAATCCCATTTTTGTTTCAGAAATCGTCGGCCATTTGTCGTTTATGGAAATATGACCAGGGTTTAGACTTCTGGCGACAGTAGGGTGTTAAGTCAGCGGTTATGTTTCAAGCAATTAAACATCTTTCAAAATTTAGAGGGAGTAATTGTTTGATCAGAGTACATCAAATATTTAAAAGTCGAAATAAAAGGAATTCTAAATGAGGTCAATATGATCTCGTTATCTGACATCTTTCTTGTCTCATAGGAATAGATTAGAGAGGTATATTTAGAACATTAATTTAGTAGTTTTTCTTTATTGACGATATATGATCCAGTATGTGCGTTTTCCAATAAAAACTTTCAAATTTGAAAGCAGCTGTGCATAATTTGGAGAGATGCAAAACACAATAAATTAACTCATCCTTTAATTTCAATGCTGAAGAAATATAAGAATAATATGATGCCCTATTGGTTGCATCTCAATTTCAAAATAAATTGGAAGTTTATCAGTGTCATTAAACTTTAATGTTGATGACTTTCCTTTCCACATATACTGCGTATAACGTATTTTTACTTGGAGGGTTTTCTTGATCCTTGTAAATGTTATAGCCTAGCCTCTTAAGAGACTGGAATTAAATCAACACTTTTATCAAAACAATCATTTATTTAAAATTATAGTTATTCATATTTTTGTTCCTGTACGAACAAAAATTCAAACGTAGCAAACTCGAAAAAAAGGGTTTTTTGTGTTATAGTTCACTAATGTAAAAAAAAAAAAGTTTTGATATTGTACGTTAAAGGAATGCAACATTACAGTGCACATATTGCTGTTGATAATGAAATGCGCTCTTTAGTTCTAAGCCATTTGAATCTCCGTGGACCTTGTCGGCGATCGTCTAACTCGATCACATCCTCTGTCTATCACGTACTTAAAAACTTGAAGATACTGTCGATTAAATATACAGTATAAAAAGCAGTTGATGGAGAGATTGCACCATAGCAATAGATTTGAAATGTTTCTCATGCTTCTAACATGTGGAAAGTTATCATCAACATACCAAAAAATGTCGACAATTGACGCCGGAAGTATGAACATGATCGAGAGGATGACGATACTGACAAGGGTCACTGTAAATATTCTCTGTGACCTTTGCAGCTCTACATCATGGTTTATGTTGGAAGTCAATTTTCTGACATTTGCGGCAGATTGAAGCTTTTTAACCAAATATACATTGACCACAGACAAGATGAATAAAGGAACAAAATGAAGGGCGCCGGTGGAAATTATCTCCATGTAATGGTAAAACAGACTTTGGCGAAATTCGGAATCTTTGATCCTTGTTATTTCGCCCTCTTCGAGAATTTCATAGCAAAAAAATTTTGGAACACAAATTATGACCGCAAATGTAATTACTGCAAAAATCTTGATCTGTGTCTTTAATTTCCAATTCCTGCGCCTTGACCATTTTGGGTTCCTCACAAAGAAAAATCTGTCTATTCCCATAACTACCGTAATCCATATACTACATGTAGTGAAAAAATTCACCATAGGCAGGAAAATGTACAAGGAATACCATATCCAGAAATAATCCGTGCTTCCGACACCTAGCAGCATGTATGGAATAGAAAATAACAGCGCCATAAGGTCAAAGAGAGTTAATGCTTTCAGATACATGTAGGAACCTTTTTTCAGTCTTCTATTTGATAGGACGATATAGTTGATGATGTTTCCTATAATTCCAATGGCGCAGATGACAGGTGCGATGTATCTGTTACAGACGACTTCGATGATGGAGTCTATGGACTGTGTATCGGTAGTTTGGACGGTACTGGAGTTGTCTGAGAATGCGGAGACTATTGTGATGTTGGTCATGGTCTTCACAGCTTAAATTATCTACAATAATGAATAAATTGTATTTCTGAGTAATTTATATATTGCACATAAAATAATGCCACTTCTCATTTTTGAAATGGAATGAAGCGTTAAGCTTCCCTTGTAACCGCACTTAATAATGCAAGACTGACAGACCTTGAAATGAAATGGGGATTTGCAATCAAATAAGATAAAGCTTTAAGCGAAAAGAGGGTTAGAGCACAAGAAAATGAATAAAGATTATTTTTAAACCCAACTCCCCAAACAAATACTTTTCCTATGTTTTGTTTATATGTTATTACTAAGTCAGGTTATGGTATATAAGACGTCCTCTTTTTAAACTTGGACCTTGAATATTTAAATTGGGCCATCTTTAAAAAAATTGTTTGGTTGCCCTCTCCCGACCGACTGGCTAAAAATGGCCCGACTCAAAACTTTTTTTGACCTTCAGGAAGCAGTTAGTTTTTTTTATGTATTCTGAACAATAGATTTAAAAAATTAAGCATTGATATTTAAATTTTCTGAGAAAAAAATTTTTCTTACCTACCGACCCAATTTTTGGATATTGAGTGGGGAGAGGGCAAACAAACATCATTTTAAAGGTGGCATTATTTCAATGTCACTTTATCACTTGTGAACCTTAACTGGTATTAACGTGTATTTCCAACTTTCTCCGGGTAGCTAACATAATACCAAATAAGTAAAATAAAATCTACATGTCATTTCTTTGCTAGGAATGAATATAAATTCGGTATCATAATTATTATCAAAAACCTAGGTGTTCCTTAAAGTTGAAATATCATTGTCACAATCCATATGTAAAGAGATGTTGAAGTTTACTAAACAACTTTTAACTATTAACTACTTTAATTAATCCAGATGTCAGGTTAGGTAAACAGCCTATATATAGTGTACTAGGAAAAAAAAGATTACAGACTCTGTCACATCTGTTTCATATATGACAGTTTTACGAAGTATAGATATTATTCGCCAAATAACGACTAAACCGAATGACTTCAGCTTTTCTACATCGTCAACTGCCACTATTTATCTAAAAATATTCCACAATCATCTGCGTATGGTGTATGCCTTCGTCGTCCGCGTAGCGCAGTTGTTAGAGCGTTTGCTCCAGAGTCTTGGAGTTGATCCTTACGCCGCGGGTTCGAATCCCACTGCGGGGCGTGGAGACCAGTCCTTCAGATGAGAAAGTGAGCAGTGAGGGATCATTTTCATGCTAGCACCTACTGCCATACGAGACCTATGTGTATAAACCTAGGTCCCGTGTCGCAGTAGGTGCTAGCATGAAAATGATCCCTCACTGCTCAAAAGCTGCAAGTGCCGAGTACAGGTCTAAATATAAAACCCCCAATGGCAAGTGATGGCGTCTCATCATGAGTGAAAAATTCTCGAAGGGAAGTTAAAAAAAAATCTTCCAACTGATTTGTACGGAAAAGCACATTTTGAGCACGATCATTCTTTTAAACTGAGGCAGGCATCTGATAAATAAATTGATGTTACAGGGCTTTTACAATCTCGTTTAAACTCAACATTTTGTAAATTCCATGGTCGTTAAAGACCTATTTTTGCAAAAACAACCTAAGGTATGCTTGGGTCGTATTTTGACTGATTGACCTACTAGTTTTTAAAGTAAACCTGACTACGAATTACTCCAACTACTTGATCAATAAAGAGAGCTCACGACGGGTGTCACCGTATTAAAAAGTATTGGGTACTAATAACTGCATCGTCGCAAACCACGGCCAAACTGTACGATCCTCTCCCATTCTGGAGAGAGCTATATGCGGACTCCGGACCGTGGCTTGAAACGATGTAATAACTGATATGATACAATAGGTGATTGAGCAAAACTAACACTGCTTGAAAAAACACCTTTACAAAACTTTACTTGCAAAGTAAATCTCACTAAAGGTGCTCCAAAAAGCAAGGTCATCTTTGTATTAACTTTACAAAAAGTAAAGGTGAAAAGGTAACCTTTACTTACACGAAAAGGTAATTAAATTTAACCTTTCACCTTTAATGCTGCATTAAAGTTATATATATATATATATATATATATATATATATATATATATATATATATATATATATATATATATATATATATATATATATATATAATGAAACTTTTCAAAATCCTTACTTGAATACTGGCTTTTGTTTAATACACTCGTACTTAGGATTTCAACAAATGGTTTTTGACTTTTAATAAATAGGTATCTGATGTGTCTATTGTGTTACCCCCACCTCATTTTGTTAAACTCGATCTTACTAAAAATACATAAATTTTCACGCGTTATATCAATTTCCAGTTGTATTTAGTATTAGAGATTGTCATCTACAAAATATAAAAATTTATACTATTTTTGTATACTGTAGACGGAAAATCACATATGTAAAAATGGTACCAGATATCAGAATATAGATATAATAAACTTTAAAATTCCCTATGACTTAACCTTTAAGTTATCTGATTTGCTGATATCTGATTGATGGAGAGCTCTTTTTTATTTGCTTTTAGTTTAAATATATTGAAACCTTTTCTGTTATAATTTCTGCTTTATAAATATCTACCAAAAACAGTTACAAACATTACAAGATTACATCTTTTACTAGAACAGGCAATAAAATGACAAAGAATAAAATAAAAAAGGTTAAAATACAATACAATATTATTCATCCTTTATGGTGCATGTACATGTGTCAAAACTTCGCAGTTTAAATGGAACTAAAAATGCCTTACTCAGTTATTACTCAAGATCACTGATGAGAAACTACACAACATAAATCAGGCAAAGTACTAGTATTTCCAATTCAAACTATTAAAGGCTATCTAATGAGTATTTATGTACAGGTTAATAATGTTGACATCTTGTAAGCATAATCGTGTAATTTACATATTCACAAAATAAAGAAACAAAATTGCTTAAACATCTATTAGAATATAGGTTCAGAGGTAGTTTTGCAAGATGCATAAGTAAATGCATGTGTCCAGCTTCATGCAGTGAGCCTGTTTGAGCTTGACTTTATACTTTGGATTAAATGTTATATGTGCATTGTGTCTGTGGTAGATTATGTTTGCATTGTGTCCATCTTCACACGCCTTGGAAAATATGTAACTGGTTGTGGTAGATGCTTGAGTGCTTGCGTATGTGTCCAGCTTCACACATTTTCATGTATGTGCTCAACTTCACACGCCTTGGAAAATATGTAACTGGTGTTGTGGTACATGTTGTATGTTTGCATATGTGTCCAGCTTCACACATTTTCATGTATGTGCTCGACTTCACACGCCTTGGAAAATATGTAATTGGTTGTGGTAGATGCTTGTATGTTTGCATATGTGTCCAGCTTCACACATTTTCATGTACATGTATGTGCTCGACTTCACACGCCTTGGAAAATATGTAATTGGTTGTGGTAGATGCTTGTGTGTTGGCATATGTGTCCAGCTTCACACATTTTCATGTATGTGCTCGACTTCACACGCCTTGGAAGATATGTAATTGGTGTTGTGGTAGATGTTGTATGTTTGCATATGTGTCCAGCTTCACACATTTTCATGTATGTGCTTGACTTCACACGCATTGGAAAATATATAATTGGTTGTGGTAGATGCTTGTGTGTTTGCATATGTGTCCAGCTTCACACATTTTCATGTATGTGCTCGACTTCACACGCCTTGGAAGATATGCAACTGGTGTTGTGGTAGATGTTGTATGTTTGCATATGTGTCCAGCTTCACACATTTTCATGTATGTGCTCGACTTCACACGCCTTGGAAAATATGAAATTGGTTGTGGTAGATGCTTGTGTGTTTGCATATGTGTCCAGCTTCACACATTTTCATGTATGTGCTCGACTTCACACGCCTTGGAAAATATGTAACTGGTGTTGTGGTAGATGTTGTGTGTGCTCGACTTCACATGCCCTGGAAAATATGTAATTGGTTGTGGTAGATGCTTGTGTGTTTGCATATGTGTCCAGCTTCACACATTTTCATGTATGTGCTTGACTTCACACGCCTTGGAAAATATGTAACTGGTGTTGTGGTAGATGTTGTGTGTGCTCGACTTCACATGCCCTGGAAAATATGTAACAGTGGTTGTGGTTAATGCTTGAGTGTATGCATTTGTGTCTTGCTTCACACAGAGAGAAAATTTTTGTGTGCTCTTTTCTACAAGATAATGATTATTTAAATATACTCAGAATACATCCTCTAAAGAAATGGATAATCATAATGAGTTACATACTAAGTTCCTCTGTGCACAATATACACAATTTTACTGAAATTAAACTTGTGCAAAAACTCTCTTGCTGAATAACTTTCATTATTATAAATGCTTGAATGTTCATCTATAAATTTTCAGATATTTTCTAGTCTGTGTGTATATGTTTGATCACGATGGCATCCATATTTGATTCCCCTCTCTGTCATCTTTTCTTGGTCACCAGTTAATTCAACAGTAGGATAGGTACTCAGATCTCTCTGGTGTTGGACAAAAGGAGGTGCTAATAATAAACATAATCTTCGAAATTATAGATAATAACATCCATTTCTTTTCCAGGTTTGCATAAATTAGTTATCTTTTGAAATTAAAGCACATCTGCAATATCCCTGAAAACTTGCTAAGATACTTAAAATGTTTGTAGCATGCTTTAACTACTTTAATTTTATTTTTGGAAGTTTAGAATAATAGAAAAGCAAGTTCATATATAAAAATGAAATGTAAAAGATCTTAATAATGAAGATTCATTTACACAATGTGATAACACATTGAAGTCAATTCCTCGCCTGACTTGCTTGTAATTTATCTTCATAATGGAGTTGATTCTATGATGATCACTTTCAATCATTTAAAAAAACTTCTTCATCTCAAACTATCTGAAGGTCATCCATCTTCCCAACTGCCATTCACCCAAAGTGTACCGAAACTTCTGACCTGTATAATATCCAAATTCAAGATTAAAATAAAAAAAAATCTCTTCACAATATTGG